CCCAGCTCTACCAGTGCAGTTGTTGCCGAAGCAATTTTGGAAGACCAAATCGCTGATTTGTGGCCTGAATACCCATGCCTATACGATGTTAGGTCACCAGAGTTTAAAAATAGAGAAATGAGAGAGCGTGCTTTGGAAGAATTGGCTGAAAAATTGGGTCAAACTGGTAAGTCAAATTCAATTGAATTTGTTGATTCAACTGTGAAATGTCTTAGTGATTATTAGCGCTTATTTTGCAGTTGCATGGTTAAAATCTAAATTGAAAGCATTACGAAATAGTTACGTGAAAGCCAAGAAACCATCAGCAAGTGGGAGTGCTAGGAAAAATCCTACGAAACGGTCAACGTGGCTGTTGGAGAAATTACAGTTTTTAGCTCCCCACGTGGCTTTTAGGGCGTCTGTTTCCAACTTGGATACGGTATGGAATTTTACACTCAAAGACATGTACAAATCAGTTAAATTTATTTTTCATTGGGTTTAAATACTCTTGAAATATTTATATGTAACTAAAATTTATGACATATCAACAATTCGGTTTTGCCATGGCACTGCTCCATCATTGTTGAAATAAATTGTTAGCAGTTCACGTTGAACTTTTGCACCTCTAGATGTATTATGCACTAATGTACGCTGCATGTCAGTTAAGTTTGGGTCATTCCTTCAAGTTCCAGGTGATATTGTGTGATCTGCATTCTCTTGGTCAACTGCTACGGTATATGTTGCTTTGTTCTTGTTGATCATGTAATTGTGCAAGCAACAGGCAGCTAATATAATATCGGTTATTTTGTCTGGGGTCAGTTTGATAGTGGTTAAAAACACTCGCCATCTATGTGCAAATATGCCAAAAGCATTTTCAACTACCCGGCGTGCCCTTGACAATCTGTAGTTAAAAATGCGCTTTCCTTTTTCTAAGTTACGATGAGGATAAGGTTTCATCAGGTTGGTTGACATGGGAAATGCATCATCGCCAACAATGTGACAATGTATTTTTGTTGCTATCCCTTGTACATTTTGTGGAGAGGGAAGATTTAAAATGTTGGATGATAATGCCCTTTTCAATGCAGAATCTCTGAATACTCCAGCATCCCCAGAACGACCTGCTGCTCCAACATCCACATAAATGAACTTGTAATTAGCATCAACAAGGGCCAAGAGAATAACACTGAAGTAATGTTTGTAATTAAAAAACTCTGATCCGCTTGCAGTAGGTTGCTGGATACTAATATGTTTTCCATCTATGGCACCTATGCAGCATGGGTAGTTCCACTTGCTTTCAAAGTCACCAACAATTTTCAAACAATCTTCTTCTTTGCCAGGAGTCTAAAAATGAACAATCTTTTTGTTTAGGTGTCATGTACAACACCTACATCAGATCTCAGCACTGTAGAGCTTGATGACAGCATTGAAGATGACAATTTCTCAATTGAAAATGAATCATGGGAAAACAATGATACTGACACAATTGAAATAGTAAAGTCAACAAAAGAACCACTCAAATCCAGGCAAATTAACACACAAAAGAGGCAAGCTGATCACGAATATTCCTTGATAAAAATCTTTCTGATTCAATTTCTCAAAGAAACAAGAAACCCAAACCTGATGAAACTTCAAAAAAACAATATGATGCATTTGGAAAATATGTATCTCAAGCACTATCAGATTTGGACAGTGCAACACGTCATCTGGCCCAACATCAAATAAACAATATTATATTCCAGGCTCAAACTGGAATGCTAACTCAGGATTCACAACAAGCAGTGGTGGTACAACCGCAATACAACCAATTTCGGCCCATACAATCATATCACATTCCCTCGACAAACAACTATCCCACATCTCCATTCAACTAAGCAAGTCCTCCGCTACATAATTCCTTACGAGAAGAATCAACTATATTTAATCAAAATAGGTGGTCTTCAAACTGACAGATGATGATGTGGCTTGAAGTATAGTCAAACAGTTCATTGCACATTTATTAAATAAAACATGTTCAGATAAACCTTCAAATATTCTTCTTTTATACGGCATACAATGCTTTGCAAGTGTCTTCTACAATCCCAGAGATAGTCCTTTCTCCTATTCGGTACTGGAAGGACAAGCTTCTGAAAGATTCTCCTAGGCATGTTTTAATAACAATACATTATACCCTGGCTGCTTCATAGGATGCATTATAACACTACTTTAGCATTAATGAACCCATCAACACATTAGAAAACCTACTCAACAAGTGAATGAATAATGCGACATAAAATCCTTCCACTCCTCCTTTCAAAGGTAACAAATCTGCTCAAAAGCAGAAAGTCATGCCCTGCAAGTCTGTGGTTTGTCAAAAGGTGAAAGGATACTTAAATTGTTTTTAAGTTTAGACATACCTGTTGCAAGAAAGCGTAAAGTTACTGACAAACGCTCAGAAGGCTTAATCGAAGCTCGCAGTTGTGTATCTTTTTTCTCAATATGTGGCGACACTATACCTAAAATCTCCTCGAACGAACGTCGTTCAACCCTATGATATTGCCTAAATTTTTCTGGGTCTTCTACATTGATCTCACGAATAAGATTGGTGAATGCCCCTTGAGACTCACGACGTAAAATCCACTTCTTCGTCCAAATCTTTCGCTTTTTGGCCCTAAGTCGTCTTCGCCGCTGGCGTAATAATAGAAGAAGTAACAATATCTCTTCATCTTCGGATGAATATGAATTATCTTCGGACGAGCTTGAATTTTCTTCGCATGAATCTGAGTCTGAGTCGTACGTTTCGCACGCTGCAGCCGCCATGTTTGTATCAGAGTGCACACAACGCGTGTGTATTAGATTGAAGCTGTAAGCTAGAAGCTTTCGTTCACCGCACACTTGGAGTAAAGTATCACTAAAGTATCCAAGTGAGCAAAAATTATTCAACATGTTGAATATCAGATGCAAGTGACACGCGTGACAAAAAGCGCTCCAAACGGCACCGCACACTAGAGGAAAGTGCTTACGCCAAGTATCACGAATGACACTTGGCGTAGGCAAGTTCCTCCAGTGTGCGGCGGGCTTACGAAGAGAGAAATGGATGATTCCTACTTTTGTCTTTTACGTATATCTGGTTGTATTCTTATTAAATTGAGCAAAATACATTCAATGAAAGTGGAATTTTGAAGACCAGGATAGAGATATTAGAAGAAAATATCAAGGATTTAAAGATTTTACTCCATGAAAGTGCTTTGTAGATGAATTGATTATAACATTTCTTGTTATATTATTATTTTTTTCAATAATTATATCATGGTATATTTGTTATCATTGTTATATTATTGAAGAGAATTTTATGAAAAAGATAGAATACCAAGAAAAGAAAATTCTCGAGATACAGAAATTTATGAAAGATACGTATTTGTTGGAAGGAATTATTTGTATTGGTGGTGATGATGGATGGGAATGACTTAATTCATTGTTATTTTAATGGAATTTATTTGTTTCAATATGATGAAAAATTTTTTAAAAAATTTTTTCTAAAAATTTTATTGTTGACTTTTTATCAAAGAATAACGAATTGACAATTCCTGATCAAAAAAAATTTATAATTTTATTTTAAAATATAAATTATATTTCAGAACTAAAATATTTATATAAATGAATAAAAACATATAGAAAAAAATATTGGTAAAGAATTATATTTTTAAGGCACCATTTATTAATATAACAAAAATGGAATGGGAATAATAAAAAACATTTGTTGATAATTTTGTAGAACAAATTTGTTGATTTTTTTTGTAAAAATAAGAAATTGTTGATTTTTTGTAGGGTTTATATTCATCTTATTTTTTTCATGTTTTGTATCATTAGCTTTCATAGACTTTCATACAACAAATCGATATAATAAAGTAAATACAAAAAAACATTGATATAAGTTTTTTAAGGAAAAGATGAAAGAAATGGCTCAAGAGTTTACCATTTACAAAAAAAAATTAGAGATTTTGTAACAGTTTTACAAAGTTATGCAAATGGGAAAGCAATCGTGGGAAATAAAGTATGCAGTTTTAATCGTTTTAGTAAACAATGTTTTTTTTCAAAATCTGTTTACTCTCCATACAATGATGGATTGTGCTGTAAAGATGAATTGCAAATGAATTTGCAAGCACGTGAAATATTAGCAAGTGCGTTGAATAAAATTTCTAATAAAGATAAATGTGAAGATTTGTATGAAGTTTTGTTTTCATCTAATGAAAATCGTTATTTTGTAACATGGTCCAGGAAAATTAGTTTTCAATACACAAAAATCATCTCGTACTGTGGATGAAAGTGTAACTGTTTGTGTTGATGGTGAGTGGGATGAATGTTTCAAACCCTGTGATCTAAATGATATTTCAATGATTGATTGGACGGATGAATTTTACAAAGTATATTTCAGAAAAGATGACGATTTAAAAACTATACATAATATATTAATCCTAACACGGTTTTTAATATGCACATGAAAAACATGTGACTTGGACGAGATTTGATTTTAAAAAGTGAAGAAGAGAAGAAAAACAAAGCAAAGCAAAGGAAAAAAGAAAAAAAGAGTAAAAAAGAAATGCCAAAAACCGTACCAAGTAAAAAAAGAAAAACAATATTGAAAATGGTAATGACATTGAAGCTATTTATGTGTTGAAAGAGTTTTCTAATAAATTGGATATTTCAATATACGATTTCATTGCTTATCATAGTGAAATTATGAATGAAATTTTAGAGGAAAAAATAGGAGAGAAATATGATTTTGTAGAATTTTATAAATAATATGGAAATGATGCAATTGAAAGAATATATAATAACATTTTTCTCTCAGTGCATTGTCCTCCTCCAACGATTGTAAATCATGATGATGATGAGGAGAACGAACAAGAAGACTAACTTAATTAACGATGATTTTATAAAAAAAGCAATAAGATTATTAAAAGGTGAACATTTAGAAGACAATGAACAAAATATTTATAATTTGTATCAAAAGAAAAAGAAAAAATATAATAGTTTAAATACAAATGTATGGAAAAAATGATATATGGAGTACTGATTTAGCTGAAATGAAAGATTTGGCAAGATATAATGATAATTTGCCTTATTTGTTATGTGTAGTTGATGTTTATTCAAGATATGCATTTTTTCGTTTATTACAAATAAATCTAGTAAAAATGATATGAAAAAATTTGAAGATATTTTATTGAAAGAAAATGAATTTCCTAAAAAAATAGTATTGGACGAGGGAAGTGAATTTCAAGGGATTCAAAAAGAATTGTCAAACAAATATAATTTTACAATTAATAATACCTATAATTGTGAAATTAACCCTTTCATTCCCAATGATGCCATATGGCAACATTGTCTTTTATGCTACATAGCTTACATGAAGTAAGCCCAAAAACAAAAATCAGGCAAGCGTTTTTAGGTACTGATGTAGGTGATGTGATATGTGAGGCAAATCTTCGTAAATTTGTTTTTATATTAGTTTAATTGATTATTACACATGGTGTCCTACGGAAGTTAGTGAGAGCAAATTTTTGCACATTTACAAAGGTAAGTTTAATTATAATATGTTTAGTTTTGAGATATATAAAAATATTAATTGATTAAAATATTGGTCCTCGTCATATTTAAGCAATTATTTTATTAAAAGCGCGATTGGCCCACATAGATTTTCTAATGAATAATGTTTTGCCATATGGCAACAATGGGCAGATTAATCTCTGGAAGATGTCACTGTAGAAATAGTGTTAATTGAATATAAACTAAGCATTTCCTTTCTATAACTGATGTTTTTATTCTTTTTTAAGAGAGTTATGGATTTGACTGAAGCAGTAGAGCTCATTTTTTGTCCTAATGGTGAAATATCAGATGTAAGCGACATTGATGATGGTGATGATGAGGTATCTCTGGCAATATTGTACTCAGACTTACCAAAAATTTGGCAGATCACAAAGATTACAAGATGTATTTCAACAACTGGTTTGCATCAGTGCAGTTGGTAGAAATGTTAAAAGAAAGAGGCATTTGGGCAGTTGGCACTATTCGCAAGGATCGAATGGCAGGTTGTCAACTGAAATCAGACAAAGAAATGAAGAAAGATCGGCGAGGAAGCTATGACAACAAGTCTAATGATAAAGGTGTAACAATTGTTAAGTGGTATGACAGCAAGCCAATACATATTGTGTCATCCCATTATGGTCCTGAACCACTTGGAATATGCAAGCGATACTGTGGTAAAGCAAAGAAGAGAATTGATGTTGTTCAACCTTATGTTGTACTGGAGTACAATGCCCATATGGGAGGGGTTGACTTGGTAGACATGCTTATTGAACTATATTACGTCAATTTACAGTAAAAGAAATGGTACATGAGAATAGTTTTGTATTGTTTGAATGCTGCATTGGTGAATGGCTGGCTATTGTACCGTCGACATGCAAAACAACACAAAAAGAATCAAAAGTCATTGTTGACCTTGAGAGAATTTCAAGCACAGATTGCTTCTTCCATGACAAAAAAGGGAAAAGAAGTACAAACGAAGCGTGGCTGAAAGATTTATACGAACAATAAAACAGATGATTAGAAGAACTTTTGATTTGTTGCAAATGAGAAACGAAAAAAAAATTTAACTATAAAAAATACTTACATTTAATTGTGAAAAGATATAACAAATCTCCTCATCGTGGATTACTTTCCGACAATCTTTCACCATATGATGTCTATTTAGGTGGAAAAAAATAAATTACATGAAAAGATTATTTAATATCTTAAACAAAAAAAGGAATAAAAATTTAAATATATTAAAAAAAAGGATAAAGTGCAAATTTCAAAAATTAAAAATAATATTTTTGAAAAGGAAAGTTTAAGACAGTGGGTTAAGGAGATTTTTTATATAAATAAAGTTTTGTTGACAAATCCTGTTACTTATAAGCTTTGTGATAACAATGGTAAAGAAATTCAAAGGAAATTTTATTGTGAAGAATTAAAAAAGGTTTAAAAATGAAAAATATTACATTAATTAGTAATGTTAATTATAAAAATGGTGAAAAAAATTATATTAATCATTTTACTACAACATTACCGGGTCAAATTGATGCATTAAATAATAAAAAATACATATCTGTGTTAAATGTTGTTTATCAAAAGCAGCAAAAAATATTAATGAAGATGAATGCTGGTGTGATTTCGAATTAAAATTTTCAAAATACTTTAATCAAACGGTTGTTACTACCAAAAATATAGATAAAAGTTTATATCCAATTTTGAAGTTTAATTTACCAAGAATTAAAATACCGTCGGGAAAATATAACAATAAAAAAGTTCTATCGCTTTTAAATGATTATTTAAATTATTTAATTTTTTTTAATAATAAAAATGGTAAAAAGAATATAATTTTAACAAATGAATATACTTATTACTATATTACTATGGTCAGGCGAAAGAATCTTATATTAAAGACAGTAAAGAATATGATTTTAAAAATTATATTTGGACAAAACCCGTAATGAACAAAATAGAATATATTGATTATGCTACAGGAAATAATACAATAGAATTCAAATTAACTTTTTCAAAAAAATTAAGTTTTATGTTGGGATTACATAAAGAAGAAATAAGACATACATTTGATTCTCAATTTGATTCTACACAACGTAAATTTTTAAAAGAAATTAAATTATTTCATTGCCCATATCTTCCTGATGAGACAGTTGGAATAAATAAAATGTTTATATATTGTGATAAAATTGATGGTGAAATTGTTGGTGATTCAAGAAGTGAATTGTTATGTATTGTTCCCTTTACATTATGCAAATGAAGTGGAAACGATTTGTTTGTGTACAATCCAACAATTATAAAAAACAATTAATTTCTTATTTATTAAAGATTTAACTATAAAAGTATTGGATCATCAAGGCAATTATATACCATTTGATTCTGAAAATATAACGTTGGAATGTCAAATTGATTAATAAATGGAAATTAAACTACATCCTATTAAAATACCTCAACATAGCCATGCTTTATCTCGAAAATTTTTTGGCCAAATATAGATATATTATATCCATTTTATTTATCTGGAATTAGTAAAAATAATAAAATTTTATATCGAATAAAGACTTTAAAACCAAAAAGCTTCAAAAAAGGAGAATTTAAATTAAATATCTATTTATTTCCATATAATTATTATAGTAATTCCATATAATTTTATTACTGTTACAAATGGAAATTTACAAAAAATCCCAGAACTTGGTGATGTAACTAATGTAAAAAATTGTTTACTAAACAGTATAAGAAATTCCGATAGCAAACCAAATAATATTTCATTTTTTTTATTAATGCATAAAAAACTTTTTTTTATTGAAATGGATTATCCAAATTAGATGCTGTTGCTAATTTTAATTTAAAATCAATGCAAATAATGGAATATGAAAAAGCTCCTCCAATTCTATTTTCAAAATATATATTATTTGAATTGGAGTACGATGATTCAGGTAATAACTGTATCACTGATGAAGAACTAGATATACTTCTGGACTTAAAATTTGAAGAAAAAAATGAATGAAGAAAGTAAAAATAATTTGTATAAATATTATGGAAATGTATTAGAGGGTAATATTGTAATCCATATTATAATTGCTGCCACGCATCAGCGTGGCAGCACACTAATCTTGACATGTCTCGGCCCATTCCTCTACTCGACCTATATAGAGGTAAAATCTCGATTTGTGTCTGTCTGTTAACATTTCCGGGGGGGATTTTTACGGAATGAGGGGAAGAACAATCACAATAAGGTAGAACCTTTCGGAACTCCTGTCAGTTTCTCTTTGATTTTAAATGTCTGGAATCCGAATAGATATGCGGCCTAAACAACGTTATACAGTAGATACCAAAATCGAGTGATTACCGACATCAATTACACATATCTCGTTTGGCGAAAAACACATGAAATCGATTCACCGTGCCGTATTTAGCCAGCTCGGTTTACATTTTTTATCTTGCGCTCTATGGTCAGACGGTGAGCAAAATATAGTGTAAGCATGTGTTTATTTTCGTTCGAGCTTTTATTATTACTTGAAATATCGGTGTGGATTTAACAAAACGTCAAAAATAATTTAAACGCATGGTGCGAGTTCAACCATGAAATATGAATTATGAATATGAAACGTTTGCTCTTTGCGATAACTATACATCATTTTATCGCAGTCGCACAGAATCATCGGAAAAAAGGTTCTATCAAAATGTTGTAAAGGAAATAATGGAAACAAAACTACAGTTTTATAATATAGTCCGTTTCTACGTTTGTAAACATGCGGACGATTGTTCGGTTGAGTAAACAAGGTATCATACTTTTAATCAAAAAGCATTTTAAAACTCCAAAGAATCAAAACAATCAAGACATTTAAAAGAATCAAAAAAATGTTTTCATTCAAAATGGCAAGGAATTTATCTTTTAATTTTATGATGAAAACGTATGACTGACGAGAATCGATTGAGCATTGAAGCACTCACCTCCATATAAGGTGAACTGTGCGTCGTTTGTGCATGCCGATTGGATAGAAATTGGAATGCTATGATTAAACGATCGTGACTAAAACACCACACGAGTACATACGAGTACATACGAGTAACATACGAGTACATACGAGTGACATACGACTATTTTCTGGTCAACAAATGAGAAACAACACAATTTCTTCAATACATTGATATTTGCGTTTATTTTTCCTTGTATTTGTGTGGACTTTGGGGCAACCATTTGATGGATTTAAATGCTGAAAACGTATTTTACTTTTATACTACATTCATTTGTATGTTATAGTTGAATTTGTTATAGATATTTTGTCGATGCGATTTGCCAGTATTTGAGCGCTTTTTGAAACACTTTCACCTAGGAAATACATATTTATGAAAGCGATTAAATAAACAACGTATAAATAATGCTTTCAAAACGTGCTACATGAAATAAATGTACATTATATATATTTGAATTAAATGAGAGTTGCACTGTTACGTATAGTCCTGAGACGGACTGTTTTTGTTGTTGTTGACTGACGTTTCGACAACCTTAGCGGTAGTCATCTTCAGAGTCAAAATGAATGTATAATCGCTTTCATAAATATGTATTTCCTAGGTGAAAGTGCTTCAAAAAGCGCTCAAATACTGGCAAATCGCATCGACAAAATATCTATAACAAATTGTAGACAAACCATTTTGTGTTCCAATATGTCCAATCACAGTCTCTTCACAATTAGAAACTGGATTTCATGAGAGGCAACAGCTGCCTCTAAGACTCACTTGGGCTCTAACAATACACAAGAGCCAAGGACTAACACTTCCCAAAGCGTGGATAGATATTGGCAAGTCTGAAAGAACTGCCGGAGTTTCATACGTTGCAATAAGCAGGGTAAAATCAATTTTATCTTGTGTCATTGAACCAATGACTTATGAGCGATTAACAAGCTTGAAATCATCAGCCAATTTACAATACAGGATTGAAGAGGAAAACCGCTTAGATAGTTTAGCACAGACTTCTTATAGCAGTGTAATAAAGACGAAGTCTGTATAGAAGACTTTACGAAGTCTGTATAGAAGACTTCTGTATCCGAAGTCTGTATTACATATTCCGAAATCCAGTTTCAGAAATCCAGTTTCATGAAATCCAGTTTCAGACTTCTAAAGTCTTTATAGTCATACATTATGTGTAATCAGTCCTATACAACAAATCAATTTCATGGCCATAATCACTGTATGTATAATGTATGTAAATAAGATCATCAGCAAATACGATAAAGGTAAGTTATTTTTTCAGGCTTATTACATTGCCTTCTCATATTCCCCTTTTTATGATAATGCACCAGTTTTTAAATATTATCTTTTTTTTTGTAGATTTCTACATCTGGGTTATTAATTGAAGAATCAAGAACAGACTTTCAAAATACTACGATTTACGCTTTCAATAATGGAAATGCTAGAACAGACTTTCAAAATACTACGATTTACGCTTTCAATAATGGAAATGCTATGAATAATGACTGCAACGACTGTACCATTCAACTTTGTATGTGCATAAAAGTGATTCCTCACTAAAACAACTGAGTAACATGAATCCAGGTGAAAACATATGATATACTAACAAAGAAGCACAGGGAGACTTGAGAGATACATATATGACAACATATAACGATTTGTATTGATGGATGTGTTGATCTTGTGCTGTTGGCAACCAAGTGAATGAAATTCTGAAAATTTCATTTAAGCTCCGGTTAACATGATTTAATTGTTATTGGCCGAGTTCTAAATGACAATATGCACATTTTTGTAAAATGAGCTTTGAAAACTGTTCATCCAATTAGTCCA